TAGGCGAGAATGATGCCTTCTTTGCTTTCATGGATGGGCTGAAGCCGTGGGTGAAGCATGAGCTATAAAGGAGAGGAGTTCATGACTTGGCTAAAGCCATGACTACTGTCGAGGCCTTGATAGAGTTCAAGCCTCTGAACAAGTTCGAGTCTACCAAGACCAAGGGTAAAGACAGGGACGATAAGGACCCGGAAGAAGCAGTCCAAGGGGAAAGACCGTGATTGAGAGTCCAAAGATGGAGATCGAGACCGTTTAACTAAGGATGGCGAGAGGAAGCCACCAGCAGGCAAGTGGAAAACAAAAGGGGACCGAGAGCTACTAGCATGCTACCTATATAGAGGGAGCCACATAGCACGTAATTACCCGCAGAAGGGCAAGCTGGCTGCTGTAGATAAGGAGTCTGACGAGGAGCTAGAGTCAGGGGCAGCAAAGCTTGGGTCGTTGGTGCTCAATGCTGTCCAGAGTAAGGAGAGTTGCAAGCCAAAGGGCTTGATGTTTACGGATCTGATGGTTGTGGGTCAGAAGGGTGAGTGCACTGGTGGACACAGGTGCCTCACATCTTTTCATTTCAGGTGATGGAGCTCGAAAGCTCAAACTGAAGGTATAAAAAGGGACTGGTACCATTAAAACGGTGAACTCCAAAAAAGTTCCAGCCATTGGAGTAGCGCGGGGAGTGGAGTTACAGCTTGGAGACTGGAAAGACAAGGAGACCATTGAGGTAATACCCCTTGACAACTATGAGTTTGTGATTGGGTTGGATTTCTTTGTTCGGATTAACGCCCTCATTGTGCCTTTTACCGATTGTGTTTGCATCTTGGATGCACGGTGCTAATGCCTAGTACCATTGAGGAGAGGGTTTGGAGTTAGGTCGCGGGTAGTGTCAGCCATCTAATTTGCCAAGACGGTAAGCAGACAAGAAGACACCTTCTTAGCAGCCCTGAAATATGATGAGTCAGGGAGAAAGAGACCGAGTCACCTTTAGAGGTGCTAAAAGTGCTGAAGACCTTTAGTGATGTGATGCCCGTAAAGCTGCCTAGCAAGCTACCACCTAAGAGGGAGGTGGACCACAAGATCGAGCTGGTGTCCGAGGCCAAGCCACCAGCCAGAGCCCCTTATCGAATGTCTCCACCAGAGTTGGAGAAGTTGAAGAAGCAGCTCAAAGAGTTAGTTGATGCTGGCTTCATCAGGCCATCGAAGGCACCATATGGTGCATCGATTCTATTCCAGCACCAACATTTTACGAAATTTGATTTCCAGATGGAGTACAAGCCAAGACGGGTGAACCTAGTGGCAGACGCCCTGAGCAGGAAGGCTAACTTTGCTGCTATTAGCCAATCAGAGGGGTCACTGGTGCCGCGCATCAAGGAGGGACTTGCGCATGATCCTATAGCCAAGGCTTTGATGAAGTACGCCCAGCAAGGTAAGACTAGGTGGTTTTGGTTGCAGGATGGTTTGCTGTACACCAGGGGCAGTAGGCTATTTGTGCCACAGCACGGGAAGCTCCGCAAGGAAGTTTTACAAGAGTGTCATGATTCAAGGTGGGCTGAACACCCAGGAGTGAGCCGCACCTTGGTGCTGATCGAGGATCGGTACTATTGGCCGTACATGAGGGACGATGTGGAGCCTATGTGAAGACTTGTCTTGTGTGCCAACAGGACAAGGTGGAGCTCAAGAAACCAGGAGGTCTCTTGGAGCCATTGCCAATGCCAGAGCGATCATGAGAGAGTGTTTCTCTGGACTTTATAGTCAGTCTACCCAAAGCAGAAGGGTTTGGAAGCATCATGGTAGTGGTGGACAGGTTTTTCAAGTATGGAATTTTCATTCCAGCAACCAAGGAGTGTCCAGCCAAGGAGGCAGCTCGATTGTTCCTGAAGAACGTGGTTAATTACTGGAGAGTGTTGAGGACCATTGTTAGTGATCGGGATGGGCGGTTCAAGCTGTTGGGGTCAGACTTAAATTTTTCCACCAGCATGCATCCGTAGACCGATGGGCAGACAGAACGAGTAAATGGACTATTGGAGGTCTACTTCAGGCACTATGTGAGTGCCACACAAAGGGACTGGCCAAAGCTGCTAGATATTGTGTAGTTTTCCTACAACTTGCAAAGGAGCAAGGCAACGAACCAAAGCCCATTTGAGGTTGTGACAGGGCAACAACCACTAACACCCGGTTCGATTGCTGCAGGTTATACAGGGTCGAATCCAGCAGCATATAAGTTTGCCAAGGCATGGCAGGAGCAAACTGACTTGGCCAGAGTTTGTCTACACAAGGCGGCCAAAAGGTCGAAGAAGTGGGTAAACCAGAAGAGGCGGGATGTGCAGTTTCAGGTTGGAGACTTGGTGTTGGTAAAGCTGCATCCCATTGTGTGCCATAGGGGGCTACACAAAGGCCTAGTCCGGAGGTATGAGGGACCTTTTCGAGTAGTCAAGAGGGTAGGCAAGGTTGCCTACAAGCTGGATATGCCACCCAAGCTAAAGGTACACCCAATGTTCCATGTGAGCATGTTCAAGCCGTTCCATGAGGATGAGGGAGATCCAAAATGGGCAGAGTCAAAGCGTGCACCATTGGGAGCAAGGGCCTCATATGAGAAGGAGGTCCACAGCATCATAGCTGACCGGAAGGTGAGATGGAAGAACTATCAACCAAGACATGAGTACTTGGTGCGTTGGAAGGGACTTTCAGATAGTGAGGCGAGCTGGGAACCAGCAGATGACTTATGGCAGTTCGGGGACCAAATCAGGTAGTACCATGCAGAAGATGCAACGAGGGCGTTACGCAATCAGGTGGGGGAGAATGTCACGCCCTGGACGGACGCACCAGGCACATCAGGCAGACCAGTAGGCGAGCCAGAGGTTGAGGCCTACAGACCAGGCGTGCTGGCAGGTATCTGTGCGTAAAGCCTAGCAAACGAGCTCAGACCGCCCGCCCGACTTGCGAGCCAACCCATGAGACTAAGGCCTGGCATAAAAGCTGCCCGCACCACATCCAGAAGGGCCCAAGGTGCTGGACACACAAGGGAAGCTTCTAGAAGCAGGCAGGATCAGTTGGAGCATCCTGGCAGATTTGGTTGACCCTGAAAATCAGGAGCCAGCATCCTGATTGATTGTAATCCCATGATTTTAGCCTTTATTCTAGGGATTTGTCATTAAGTTGTAGCTGAAGCCTCAACTATAAATAGAGGGCTGCTCCACCCTCATTTGTACACCATCAAACACTTCTATTTCAGTGAATACAAGAGCATTTTTAGAATTCTATCTTCTTGTCTTGTTTCTCTTTAACTTGCGTAATCGGCCCTTTCCGTTGTTTTAGTGCCCGCACGCTTGTGTTTTAGGCTGACTTAGGCATAAAGGAGGAGATTCTAAGCCTAAGACAGCACGGATCCTGAGTCTAAGGTCGGAGCCCGTGACACGAGTATAGTCCTAATTGAACAAAAAGCTCTCTAAAAAAAATGTCTAATGTCAATTTTACTAAAAAAACCTAAATGGTACTTTTAATTACATTTCTATTTTTTCTCTCCAATTTTCAAAAAAGGAATTTTATTTGCACTTCATTTATTATTCTATACACCTCACTCATAAATACATCATAAATTTAAAACTCGATTTCTTATTTCTACTAAATATATCTCTACCCCTCATTTTCTATTTTCTATTCATACTCTTTTTTTCTTCTTCTTTCTTCACTTTTCAAAAATAAGTGAAATTGAACTTTTCATAAATGGATTTTTAAGAATCTTTAAGAATTTTTTTATATCTATTTTTTAGAAATTTTAAAATTTCTCAAAAATCTATTTTTGAAAAAACCTTAAAACATTTTGAATATCTATTTTTGAGAAACTCGATTTTACTTTCAGAAGTAGATTATTTACTTTTAATCACTGAAAACCTTAATCATGTTAATTCATATCCCATGAGTTGTTCAAGAACGACTTAATTGAAAATATATGCACTTATGGACCAATTTACTCGATTATGTGTACGAATTGAATTGAAATCAGTGTTTTCAAACATATATGACACAAACTTGTTCTTTTATTTTAGACTCCAAAAAATTGAGAATACCTTTTTTTGATTTTCTAATTTTACATGGGCAAAAGGGTGTTCTTGATTTTTTTGGTTTCAAGACAAGAATACCTTTATGCTTATGCATGCTTGTGAACTAATATATTTCTTTCATTTATAAATATGATCAAATAAGAATGGACATATTGATGACTTGACTCCTTTCATCTTTTTGTCGAGAACTTTTTTCAATATTCTCATATTTGTATTATTTATTTTAAGAATAAATGTATTTATTTTATTTTATTATCTCCAATAAAATTATTTTATCTATTTTTAATTAAATTAAAATTAAATATATTATATATTTTAAGATTAAATGTATTTATGTATTTTCAAAAATAAATTTTTGAGAATACAATTACATTATATTCTTGAAATTTATTTCCAAAAAGTGTATTTGTATTTTCAAAAATAGATTTATGAAAATATAATATAAGAAAGGTTGGGTGTATAAGTTATTGAGCATATTTTTATTATTTATTAAAAGATAAAATTGATATTTATTATGTAGATATTTTTGAAAAAAAATTTAAAAGGTATATAAAAAAATTGATAATGTATTTAAAACGTTCCTTTTCAAAATTATCTTTAAATAAAATTACTTAATTACTCTTTTTCATCTCAATTTCAAAACTTTTAGATATGCATTAAGTTTTGTAATTTACCAATTTCATATTAATAAATGAAAAGCTATATTTAGGGATTAGGAAAAAATTCAGTTAAGGAAAACAATTCATAAATAAAAGAATTTAGGGAAATAATGCATATTATTCTTTAATTTTTATTTTATTTTAATAATTTAATATAGAAACTTTTAAAAACTTACAAAATAAATCGGAGACTTTTCAAAATTTTTAAAAACTTTCCAATTTATTGGAGAGAAATGTAAAAGAGAAAAAACAATTTAGTAATTTCATCTTTCCTGTTATTATAATAAAATCCTTACTAAACCCTCGTTTCATTTTCCGTTCCCTTCTGCCGCTCATAATTTTCTCAGCCTCCCCCAAACAATTCCAACAATGGCGACTCGCTCTCTCATCGCAAAACACCGAACCCTAACTTCCATCTTCTTCCCTTTCTCCCGCCCGTTTTCTTCCCTTTTCTCCATTGCTGCTGGCTCCCCCAAATCCCTCATCCCTCCATCCCCAACTCCTTCCCTCTCTTTTCTCCGTCGCCTCCGCGTAACACCTTGCTCTTCTTTTCTGCTTCATGAGTCCCTTTCCCCCGCGGTAAAATTTTTTTCCACCCGAGCCACCAGATCTTCCCTCAATGACCCAAACCCAAATTACTCTAACAGGCCCCCTAAAGAGACGATTTTACTTGACGGATGTGATTTTGAGCATTGGCTGGTTGTGATGGAGCCGCCTAAGGAGGATGCTACTAGGGATGATATTATTTCTAGTTATATCAAAACCCTAGCTCAAGTTGTGGGCAGGTATTTTGTTGGGCTATTTTTATTGTTTGTTTCATTATTTCAGATAATTGTTTATAAAATAAACAAATAAAACAATTTTTAATAAGAAAATGACTGATTTTATTTTTATATGACTTTAAATTTTTAGTATTATTTTATTCATTTTCAATAAATTTTGGTGTTTATTATTATAATTATATTTTAGCAACTTTGAGGAAATAGAGTCTTATTTATTCAAGGATCTGTTTTGGTTCTAGCCTTTTCTTGCCAATGGTGATAAAATAATTAGGGTGCAGATTAAATATAGTTTCATTCTAAGTACTGCGATTGTGAGACTAGAGGCTGCTGGATTACGATCCAATTAAGTTGCCAGGTTTAATTCTTTAGTATTGATCTTAAGTGGTTTTGTTTCCTTTGAGTTTGGAAAAGAATGGAAAGAAGAGAAATAATATGTTGAATTCAATGTTTTACATTTTTTTTTTTTGTTTGGATTGAGAAAATCATTAGATTTTTGTGTAGTGGTGGTGATTTCTTTTAATAAATGAAGATGTCCTTCGATAAGAATGGAATTTCTCTATTAATTCAATGTGAAACTTATTGTCAATTGCTCTAGTTTCTAAACTTTTGTTTACAGATTATTTTTGTTTCTGATGAAGTTTTTTGAAATGGAGTGTTTTTTGGAGTATCTCTTTGTGACACACAAACAGATAATTGTCTCATTATAGCCTTTTTGGTTGTTGGCATATTAGGGGTATGATATAATTGGATAGAAGAATCTCTGCATATTGACTGCTGTCTATGAAACAACTTTTTTTCCTATTTGTTCTGGAAATATATGATGCCTATTTTACAAGGGCTCTTTGGCGTGATATGTATGCGCTGCAGCATATTAGAATATCAGCTGATATTGGTAATCAATTTTTAGTATGTATGTGCTGATATGTATGCGCTGCAGCATATTAGATTATCAATTAATATTTTACAAGGGCTCTTTGGCGTGATATTTTAGCACGGCAGCATTTTTAGTACTTTTAGGAATGGATTTCTACAGATATTGGTAATGGGAATGGGAAGTGCATATATTACTTTGTAATTGTGGTTTGTTTATTTCCTGTGTGTCTTGTATACAGTGAGGAAGAAGCAAGAATGAAAATTTATTCAGTTTCTACCAGACACTACTATGCATTTGGAGCTCTGGTGTCTGAAGAGGTTTCATATAAGATCAAAGGTGCATCTCCTCTTTTTCTTGTCATTGCAATGTTGTTTTAACTGAAGCTTTTTATGGATGTTCTCATAAATTTCTGTTTTCCTCTCAGAACTTCCTGGAGTTCGGTGGGTTCTTCCTGATTCCTACCTGGATGTGAAGAATAAGGATTATGGAGGTAAATATGCATCTTTTTATCTGTTTTCGTTTTTTTTTTTTAATCTTCAATATTTTTTCTGTTGGATTTTTTTTTGTTTTAAGCTATTAATACTTAACATAAGCTATTGTTTTTCAGGGGAACCTTTCATTAACGGGCAAGCAGTTCCATATGATCCAAAGTACCATGAGGAATGGGTGAGGAACAATGCTCGAGCCAATGAAAGGAATCGGCGCAATGACCGACCCCGGAATTATGATCGGTCCAGAAATTATGAGAGAAGAAGGGAGAATATGCAGTACCAAGATACTCAGAATAGGGAGATGCCTCCTCCAAACCAGGGCATGCAGAATGTGGCTTCTAATACAGTTGGAATGCCACCCAACAACATAGGAGGGATGCCACCCAACAATACGAGAGGGATGCCATCCAACATGGGAGGGATGCCCCCCAGAAACATGGGAGGAATGCCCCCCAGAGGGATGCCGCCCAACAACATGGGCAACATGGGGAATATGCCACCAAATCAAGGATGGTCGAGTAACATGAATGGCCCTAACTATGGAAACACTCCTTACCAAGGAGCTACTCCGAATGCTCAATACGTGGATAATTATGCTCCAAATATGGGTGGAGGAAACATGCCCAATGGAAACTACCAGTCTTAAATGTTTGGTTTAGATGAATTCAGAGACTATTTTAGGCAATGCTGTAGATAAAGAGGATATGTCTAGGACTTATGGCTGCTAAATAAGTGTTGTACTGCTGTTGAATATGTTGGATAAGTTATTAATATTTCTTTGTTTGCATTCTGTGGCATGAAATTTGGTTGGCTGTTTAGCGTGATGACGATGATATTGATGGTGCCAGGTAAATTTTTATATAATTATGAACAGATTTTGCCCAGGTTTAAAATTGTGTTGCATTCTGTTTCTTTTGATAGTAGTTAGTTTCTGCTCTCTGATTTTTTCATTTCAAGCAGTTATAGCTCATAGACCATGCAACTCCATCTATCTTCCCTTTTTGAAACAAAAGTATGTGCCATTTTCTGTTCTAGAGTTCTCGTCTTCACTTTTGACACTGGAAATGTGAAATTTGTCTTAGATTGAGCATTCAGAAATCTTCTATCAGGTTACTGAGCTTGCAAAGAAATGTGGTGTCACCATCTCAGAAGAGGGCATTCATCATATCAGAGCAGTATTTAAAACTGGACCGAAGTTTGCATTCAAAAGATCTGTAGAAGTACTTGAATCTCTACGATTTAAAAGATTTCTTCTATATTTGCCAAAAATGGCTGCAAAAAATTTTCTCATAAAAAATCCCAATTCCTAACATACACTTTTTGTTAGCTCAAAGGATTAGATGACCAAGATGAGGTAAATTAGTTAATTAAAAGAGTTAATATAAAATTCACTCGAACCCTTGAAGTTTATATTCTTTTTATGCATTGAATAGGAGATGGGAATAGTAGGATTTCCTACCATTCTTCCTAAACATGCTTATACATTCTTAAGCCTCACATGTCTTCTTAAACATTCTTAACTACTAAGCCAAGAAGCTGAAAACATCAAGAGTTTGTATTTGATGCACACTGGGGCAATGGTAAAAAATAGATAAAGAGAGCTAATATAGTAATTTCAATGGAAAAAAGAAGACAAAGTAAGAATTTAATGGGACCGGTCATCGTAGAATAAGAGAGTTGAAATTTTTTTAGAACCGTGACCCTTACCTGCCCCCCTTGATTTTTGTTTAGTATTTTTAAAAGGATAAATTCCATTAAAGTCTTTCAAGTTTAGCCGAAATTTAATTTAAGTCCATTAATTTAAAAAATAGACATTTTGCATCAAAATTATCAATTTAATTAGAAAAATTGGTACTGCCATTAACAAATCTGTTAATAGGATGTTGTAGAAACCATTACGCCCTTGAATGAAAAAAAACTCGAAATACTCAATTTGAAAAAGAAGAACCTCATATTTTTTACAATAGAAAAGAAATTAAGAATTTGTTATTTTAATTCGTTTTATTTTTTTAAATATAAGTTTTTTTTTTAGTTCATTTTCTAAAAAGTTAAAAAATTAAAATTAAAAAACTTTTTATTTTTATTATTTCAAATGATTTTTGTGGTCTTGTTAAATTTAATAAAAATTTTCTTGTGTTTTTCAAAATTTTAAATTTTATATTTTTTAAAAAGGCTACATTACAAAAAAATTCAAAAACATATTTTAAAGATAAAAGGAGTTACATTTTCGAAATAAAATAAAAAATTAATTCGTTTCTTTCTTTAAAAATGCTACTTTCCTTCATTTTATTTCTTTTTTTTTTTTTAAACGAAGAAACAAAAAATTCTTATCCTCCTCTCATTCCTTTCTTTGAAACCCTCACAAAGAAAAAAAAAATTCTCTCTTAATAGATTTCCAAAATTTTCTCTTTAGATTCTTTGATAGATTTTTTGTTGTATTTGAAAATTTCTTGTTTTAAAATTTTTTTGGGTAAGTTTTTAACTTCAGATTTGAATAATTTTGTAATTGTTCAAATTTGATCAACAATGTTAACAACTTTAAAGTAAAGTGTCTAATTTTTAAACTAATGACTTAATTTAAATTTTGACTAAATTTAAAGGATCTAGATGAAATTTACCCTATTTAACATTATTGGTATAACGATATTTGAATAGCTAACGTCATCCTCAAAAGACAGCCCATGTCAAAGCAAGCTCTGATTATGTACTGTACACAAGGGTGTTCAAAATTCCATTTTTCTTTAATTGAATTATAGGTCTAATTCAGTTAATCAACTAATCATAGAATTAATTTCAGTTAATTATTGAAAATAATTTTAAAAAAATTTACTGAATTGACCGAATTTAATTTGGTTGATTAATTTTTAAAATTAATAAATTCGATTTGATTAATGAAAATAAAATAATATAATTTAATTAATTCGATTTTTAAAAAAATTCGATTCGAAATTAATCAAACTAATTGAATAAACACTCTTATATGTACACCACTACCACATCTTATTTTCAAAAACAATGAAATATAAAAATATAAACAAGATATATAAAAGGATGAAAGAAACAAGTATTTATGTTAATAGTAGAGGTGATAATAGTTTGAATTCGTTTCAATTTTTTTAATAATATATAATATTATAAATTTTTAAAATTCAATTCAAATTTGAATTTATCTTCTTTAAAATCAATCTAATTCGAATCAAAATTTTATCGATTCGATTCGATTCATTATTTTTTAAATTTTTTATATATTATTTTAATATATTTAAATAGATTTAGATATAAAATTATTATTTTTATTTTATGAAATTTAAAATATATAAAAGCTAATAAAGATATATGATTAAGTTTAGCTTGATTTGATTTTTTGGTTATTTACTCTTTGATCCAAAATTCGATTTGAACTTAATATATATATATATATATATTTAATATTCGAAATTAATATAAACTGAATAAGAAAAAATTAATCCAAATCAAATCGAATATTACAATTTCAAACCGATTTTTTATTTTTTTTATTTTTTTTCACTCATAGTTAATAGAATGTGATAAAAGTTCTTGTAAGAGAATTAGGAAGAAAATGATCCAACGAGTGAAAATTTTATTTTCATATAATTATTTTTAAAAAATGATAATCATTAAATAGAGATTTGAATTGCAACATTTGTAAAGTTGTAATTTTTTAATTTTTAAAATATGATTTTTTTTATATAAAAAATAAGGTATAGACAAAATGAATTCTATATACGTTATTATATTAATCAATTTATGAATATAACCTAAACATATTGTAAGAGCCTCTTCAATTATAATTAATAATTAATTTGTTTTAGGTTAAATTCGGAATCTAAAATTTCGCATGATACAAGCAAAGCAAGCTTTATTCCATCAAAACATATAAAAATCGTCAAGACCATTGTAGAAAATAAGATTTTACATATTTATTTGCTCCATTTCGTTCATTCTATTTTGCCTTCAATTATCCTCTCCCTTCTGATGACTTCATTATATTTTCTGATGACTTCATTATAATTAGTTGATTACCTTTCAATGTATCTTAAATCATCGTTGGTATGACTTTCATAATTTCAATTTGAGTCTAACGTACACATATAAATGGTGATAATAAAAATATTAAAAAATAATTGATCCAAAAAATAGAAAAGGAGCTCAATCCAGCAAATGGATGACAAAATAGTATAGAATGATAAAAAATTATCTCCAACGAAGGATAAAAATGTAATTGGCATAACAAGCAAGAAAATCTTGGATTTAATAATTAATATAGAAGATCAAATTCATACTTTGTCTGCAAACTCAAAGGCCATTGTTATTACATACGATAAAGGTCAAGTTGGAATAGCAAATACCCAAACATGCAATTCAAGCAAACCATTGTACTTTTACACAAAGATGAATGTAGCTGTTGGAGCAGATCAAAACGTATTCTATTCTCCCTTTAACCTAAAAAATTTAGTTTTTAAGTTAGGGTTCAAAAATAGGTTTCAATTTAACCTCTGACAATAAGCCACTTTGTTGGATGCGTGGTGGGAGTCTATTGTACGTGCCATCTTGAATGAACTCCTAAAGCCACAATCAGATGAGAGTCGTCTCTCACACCACGTATCCAAACGAATCGAATGTTAAGAGTTAAACATGTTACGCTCGGCACATAAAACGCAGTACGGTAAGGTGAGTAAACCGTACTGTTGTTCAGGTAACGACCGTAACCTAGAAAACTCCTTAACATCAGAAACTTGTGAGAAATTAGTCTATCTCCCGTGAAAAACTTCATAAACCAGATAAGAGAAAAAAAAAAGAAAAAGAAAGGGCCCAAAATTAAAGAAGCAACACACCTAAAATAGCTAGAAATGTAGAAAGTTCTAGGTGCTGGAGCACTGGAAGGATCAAGGGAATAAACCAGTGCTGACAGACTTCCCATAGAAGTCTTTTGCATCAGCCACATAGTCTTTGAAATCCTCATATGTCGCCGCACGCTTCTTGTTCTGGGAATTCTTTGGATTTTCTACTTCATTAGACAATGGATCGTCCAATAATTCATTGAGTTCCAAACCATCCATAACATCGAACTGAAATAAATAATTTTGGGATATATATTTCACAAGTCTGGAGTTATAAGAAAAATATTGTAATTAAGTTAAAAAAAAACATCCATGTGATAACATTAATAAATATGTAAAGATAATATTTAAGTAAAAGCGTCTAAAAGATACTCTCAAAAGTAATGATAATCTTTTCAAATTTCTCAAAACAAATGCATTCAAAACCAATATACGCAATTATCATACCTCTTCATTAGACAACGGATCGTCCAATAATTCATTGAGCTCCAAACCATCCATAACATCGAGCTGAAATAAATAATTTTGGGATATATATAAAGATAATATTTAAGTAAAAATATCTAAAAGATACTTTCAAAAGAAATGATAATCTTTTCAGATTTCTCAAAACAAATGCATTCAAAACGAATATACGCAATTATCATACCTCTTCATTAGATAACGGATCGTCCAATAATTCATTGAGTTCCAAACCATCCATAACATTGAGCTGAAATAAATAATTTTGGGATATATATTTCACAAGTCCGGAGTTATAAGAAAAATATTGTAATTAAGTTAAAAAAAAAACATGCATGTGATAACATTAATAAACATGTAAAGTTAATATTTAAGTAAAAATATCTAAAAGATACTCTCAAAAGTAATGATAATTTTCTCAGATTTCTCAAAATACATGCATTCAACACGAATATACACAATTATCATACCTCTTCAGCATTTCCTCCTATATCAAAGACCACGCCTTGTTGATCCTTCAAAATATAATTAAAAAACAGAATTATCATCAATGAAATCACATATATATATATATATATATATGATAGCATGTTAAATCCTGATTACTTGTTTCTTTTTTCTACATAGTACAGTTTTGGGGCTTAATGGAGGTTTCGATTTTGTCATTAACTTGACTCATATTTGATCCCCTTTACACGGTGAGTTTTGGTATCCTAGTATATTATTCACCGTCAAATTTTCAAATTCGTGGATTAATTTGTCAAGTGATTATTTTTTATTTAATGTGAAATAATTAAAGAAATAGTGAATTCTTACATGCATAGATGCATTAAATATATATTAGATAGTTTTTACATGAATTTGACTTAACTCAATTTGATATAAAAAATAACAACTCGAACTTTTCTGACCCGAATCAAAATGATCCGAACTTGAAATAACTTAGAACTGTAATGATCCAAACCCAAAATGACACAAATTAATTTGAAATTATTCAAGACTAAATTAAGTATAATTTTATTTAAAAACATTAATTTAATAAAAAATAAATATAATAAATATAATATAAATGATAACTTATAAAAGTTATTGAAAATATCATATTAATATACATTTTTAATATCAAACTAATATAATTTATATATATGTTATGTTAGTTATAATTTTTTTATAATTTATAATATGATTTAAAATAAATTATATATTTTTAATTTTCATAGGTATACATATCAATATATTATTTAAAATAAATTATATAATCTTTTATAATTATACACGAGTATCAACTATCATATGATTTAGAATAAATTAAAATATATAAAACAAGCCATTGATTTCTATATATATATATATATCATGTTTATATTATAATTATATTATGAATTTTTAATCATGTAACTTAAAGTAAATTATCTATTGAGTTACAATTAATAAAATCCAAAATAATAACTACTTAATAATAACGTACAATTACACTAAAGTTATTATTTATATTGTAACTATATTATTAAAATAAAAAATAATTGTACATTAAATGTCCATTATAAATGAATATTTAAAATAATTTTTATATAATTCTATTAAATATGTAATTGTGTATTAAAATTAAAATTTGAAAATAATTTTTATATATTTATTTAATTTAAAATAAATATAAAAAACTATTAACCATATTAAATTTGACAAAAACGTTTCCTATGTCGATTATGTGTAGTCATATAACATAGTTTAATTAAATATATTTTTTGTCTCTTACACTTGTTGACATACTAAACATGGAAAATACATTTTTAAAACCCATATGTTGTTTTTCTCCTATAGTTTTAATATCATTTCATTATATCATATTTAAATTTGTCAAAATATAATAAAATCACATTTTTAGTTTATATAAAAATTAAATTAATTTAAAACATACAAATTACTATATTTATATTTATTTTTAAATTTTTAAATTTTTTTATCTTTTAATAAAAGCCATACTTTTAATTTTGCTAAATTCAACTCAACTTTGACCATTAACCATTGTGTTGCGGGTCACCATTTGTCCTTTCCTCTTTGTTTTTTTAATCACTATAATTGTGTGAAGAAGGAAAAAGAGTTGGTGAAAGAGTTTTATCTTAAAACAAAGAGTAGTTAATGATAAGACAAAATATAAAATTGATAGAATAAAAAAAAAAAAGAAAATTCAAGAAGAGAGCTTTTGGTAAAAAAACAAATGATGATGACCAAAAAGAAAGGGATGACGAAAATAAGATAGATTTTCTTTCTTTCCACCTCATGATTTCTCTTTCTTTCCTTTCTAAGAAAATTTAAACCCTTCTTTGATTTTTTTGGTTGCCACTATAATTTCTCACTTTTTTGTATCATCAATCACCAAAGAGTATTTTTTTTCTACAGGCTCGAGTTTTAGCAATTCGCAACAGTCATTAAGGAGTTGATCGATTGTAACCCATTAGAGAAAGGTATCCAATTTAGTTTCCTAAACTTTTGTTGTTATTTTTATTATATCCAACGAACTAGAGGCTATTTTCGGTCGATCCAACCTTTGGATTAGTTTTTTTACACATTTTTAATGAAAAATATTTAGGCTCTTACTTTAGGTTTTCCTTTTTGTATTTGTAAAAGAATAATGGTGTGACTGTGTGAGTGATTAATTTATTTTTCTATTTGATTTTGTTTTTTTTTTAATTAATAGTAATATTTTTGAAAATATTGATGAAATGGCAGGTTGCCTTAACCGTTAAAGGTAATAGTTTTAAAAAAAATGATATTATGGTTTGAAGCAAAGGAGAGAATATCTCTGTTGTATCTTAAGTGTTAATAATACTTAACTTTAACATCTGAAGATGATAGTCAAACATTTAAGCGTTGGAACCACTAAGTTATTTTTCCTAAATTTTGTATAGTCATTATTCGATGTTACGCATGGGAAGCTAGAACTACACCTGCTTCTCTAATGTATTTATTTAATTGTTTACATGTTACTCAAAAGTGTACTTTAAAACTTTATACGTAGTATATCATGGAATTACTTATTTTTTAGCTTCCATTGTTTGTCACGAAGAGTGACATGGTTGTGATGGTTATATGATAGGGAGGAGCAATCAAGGATAGACATGACATCTAGATTTTACGTGCTATTCGAATCACGTAAAAAGTTTATATTTTATTTAAGGCAATGAATTTGTTTATTACGTTTTATACCAGTTGAGCAATTTAGTTCATGAAACAAAAAGCTATGTATAACAATCATGAAAATTATCTAAAAATGTTAACATATATGGCTCCTGCTTATAGTAAACGTTCTTAATGTAAACTTATTAACCTTAAATTGATCTTTATTTTGAAATGATAAAATTAAATTAAATAAACTTAATTAAAATTTTTAAAAAAATTATTTAGTACATGTTCTTAAATTTTATTATTTTTGTACTAAATAAATAATATATTTTTCAAAATGTAAACAAACCTTTCTTTATTTATTTTTTCTCAAATCAAAACGTTCTTTAAACATTATTTATTTAAATTTAAATAAAACTCAAATTATTATTTTTAAAGTAAACTTATTTATTTTGAACTCAATATAATTTTGATAATATTGATTTGAGAAATAGATTAACTTATGACAGTTATTTTACAAAAACAAAATTTTTCAACATTGAACTTGTTTTATTTTTCTATATTAATTTTCAAAGTCTTAATATTTGAATTTTGTGAAAAAACTAAAAAATAAAACTATGTGAAAAACTAAAAGTAAAATTGAATGTATATTAAAAATTACTCATTAAAAATTATACAAAAACCTTAGGCTTATATATAACTAAATAGGAGTTAAACTAGAAAACTAAATTTTTTCTAAAAACTGATCCTATAATTGATAGATTGTCTATCATAATTTTTTGTCCTTAATTCTAGAAATTCAAATATTTAATTCTAGAGATACAAATATAAATACATAGATTATAAAATTATAACAAGCTATAAATAAATGTTTTTTCACACTCCTCCTCAACCTGGTGAATACGTGTTTTTCATTCCCAGCTTGAAAATAATTTCTTGAAATATTGCACTGTTGAGACTTTTAGTCAGCATATTTACTAGTTGACTCTTGATTGATATATAAGGTGTACAAATCAACCCACTATCTAGTTTTTCCTTTATGAAATGCCAACTTACTTCAATGTGTTTTGTTTTGTCATGTTGCACAAGATTGTGCACAATGCTTATTACATATTTGTTATCATAGTAGACTCTCATTGGTCCATCCCACTTGATTTTCAAGTCTTCTAAGATAATCTTTACCCATAGTAGTTCACAAATTTCTTGAACCATTGCTCTGAACTTTGCTTCAGCACTTGATCTTGCCATCACATTCTGTTTTTTACTCCTTTAAGTCACAAGATTACCACATAAAAAAGTGTAATAACCTGAGGTGGATCTTCTATCAGTTACTGAACCTGCAAAATTAATATTTATATATGCTTCTAAAACTAGTCTTGAATTTCTTTTGAATAAGATACATCTCCCAAGATTGACCTTCAAATAGTGCAATATACGATAGACAACCTGTAAGTGCACTTCTTTAGGATTTTGCATAAATTGACTTACCATACTCATAGCATATGCTATATCAAGTCTAGTATGTGAGAGATAAATAAATATTTCAATTAATCTTTGGTACATTTTTTTATCTATAACAATATCTTCATTTGCTTATTCAATTTTATGATTAGGCTCTATAGGGATATTTACAAGTTTACATGCGAGCTTTTCAGTTTCTTTCAAAAGATCCATCATATATTTCTGTTGTAAGATAAAAATGCCATGTGGTGAGTGAGCTACTTCAATTCCTAGGAAGTACTTCAATCTCCTTAGCTCTTTTATCTCAAATTCTCTAGCCAAATACTGTTTTAGATATTTTCTCTTTTCATCATCTTCAGTTACAATTATATCATCAACATATACTAATAGAATTGTGACTCTCCCTAAATCAGAGTGCTTGATAAACAATATATGATCTCCTTGACTCTGTTGCTATTTCATTGCTAGCATCACTTTGATAAATCTCTTGAATCAAGCTTTAGGAGACTGTTTAAGGTCATATAAAACTTTTTTCAGCTTGAATACTTTGTTTGCTTTTAGATGACCTCCAAATCTCGATGAAACCTTTATATATATTTCTTTTTCCAAATCACCATGTAGAAAAATATTTTTTACATCAAATTATTGAAGCTACCAATTGTAATTTGCAGCCAATGATAACAAAATTCTAACTGTATTCATCTTGACAACTGGAGCAAAAGTTTCCTGATAATCTGCTCCATAGGTTTGAATGTAGCCCTTAGCCACTAACTTGATCTTATACCTTTCAACAGTACCATCCGTCTTATATTTTACAGTGAAATCCATTTACACCTCACTGAATTTTTTTTTAAGCAACTCTACAGTTCTCATGTCTTATTTTTCTCTAAGGCCTCAATTTCTCACTGGATAATACATCGGATAATGTAAT